GATCAATTTTTTGGTGGTTCTTTTAATGTCGAATGGAAATGTGTAGAAAGTGATACCGAAGAAGTAACCAAAACTACTGAGTCATTTCTACAGTTGAGTTGTTTTATTTCTCAAGATGTCAAGTATATGCACTCTGGTTTGAAAAATGTAAATATTGTTATGAAAGTTATTTTAATCATATTTTTTCTTGAAATTAAAAGCTTTTAATATTACGGTACCTTATTATAGAGAATGCAAGAACATATCACTAAACACTCTCCAATCCTCGGGAAAGATGCTGTTTATACAAAAACAGTAAGTTTATATTTTATAAATTACATAAATTAATTAATTATATTAATTGCATATTTCAGTACTTAATATTAGTTTATTCCAATTTAGTCAAAAATCAATAGACTGCCAGCATACCTGACTATTCAGTTTGTGCGATTTTTTTACAAAGAAAAGGATAAAATCAATGCAAAAATTTTAAAAGATATTAAATTTCCAATTGAATTTGATGCATTTGAATTGTGTACACCAGAACTACAAGAGAAACTAGTACCAGTAAGAAACAAATTCAAGGTAAAACCAATGTATTTCTTGTTTTATTACTTTTAAAGTATGTTCAGTAGTGTTAGTAATTACTGATATTTTATTATGCTAATACTACAACTATTAAAAAAAACAGCTGATTAAGTATTGTTGATTTAGAATATAATAGATTTAATAGCCTATTCTATTATCAATGGTATTACTGTTACTATTTTTTTTTTTCTTAAATTTATAAGTGTTAATAAAAGTGTCTTACAACATTTTTTTTACTGTAACAATTATTACACTTAGCTATTATTATTTATGATAGTTTTTGTTGACAAAACTAAAATGTAGTTTAATATTATTATTGGATTACTTGTAATAAAGGAGTTGGAGGACAAATTGGCTCATGAAGGTGTAAAACCAAATGCAAGACAGTTGGCAGAATCAAAACAAGAAGAAAAACCTACAGCTCCATATTGGTTTCAAGATGGTATTTTTGATTAGCTAATAATTTATAATAATGTTCTATTTTTTAATTATTATCTTAAATGTTGTACAGATTATGGTTCAAATAACTCTGGTTACTACACCCTTCAGGCTGTTTTAACACATAAAGGTAGATCAAGTTCTAGTGGCCATTATGTTGGTTGGGTTAGACAATCCCCAACATCTGAAAAATGGATCAAATGTGATGATGATACAGTAACACCAGTGAAAACTGAAGATATTCTTAAACTATCTGGAGGAGGTAATAAAATATAAATATTTGTGCAAAATTTTTAATAGTAATATTTTAATACGTACTTTTTACAGGTGATTGGCATTGTGCATATGTTCTTCTTTATGGTCCAAGACTCCTACCAGTGGATACCTCATCTGTATCTAGCTGAGCCTATTCAACTTTATTAGTTTTCTTTTATAAAAAGAAAAAAAAACGAGAAAGCAAAATTCTTGTAAAAATTGTGTTTTTTTTTTTAGAAATAAAAAGGAGTTTATATTATGGAAGATTATAAATTAATATTCACAATATTGTCAAAATAATTTATTTAAAATACAATTTTTTTTTTTTATATTGGTACTTAATTTGTTATGAAATTTATTATTATTATTATCATAGTCAAAATGTATTTCATAACTTAAGAAATAGTTTGCATGTAAGGTTAGTAAACATAAAATTAAATAAAAATATGTAAGGTAATATAGAATACTTTGCTTACAATTAACAACCCTATTTGGAATATAAATTCTTGCAGTACAGTTTCTCGTCGTTGAAACTTAATTCGGTGAGGATAATTTACATCTAAAAATAAATAAAGTAGTAATAACACACTTATATTACAACAAGCAGTTAATCGATACTGATAAATAATATTCATTAATCATAATAAATAATTTTGTATCAACTATTAATTGACAACATTGATGGCAATATTTTATAAAGTAGATATTTATAGGAAATATCATAAATATAATTGTATAAATTATATCATTTTACCAGCTTAAAAATAATATATGACTTTAAATAAATATTTGATAAAGTAGATATAAGAGTTAATATTTGAGCACTGGTATTGCATTACTAATTTTAGCAACATATTATGTTATTGGATTGGTGACTACTTCTTAGTTTTAACATCAGATCTCATAATGTGCATTTATTGAAATTAAAGAAAAAAATATTTCTAGTCTATTGAATAATTTAATTTGAAATTACATCTAAATTGAAGTTATTAAAATTTAAATGAAAAATAATTATATAATATGCTATTAATTTGAGATTAATCAAGTTATTGGCATTAAAAATGTAAGTAAAATGATAGATTAAATACCTTTTTTTATGTGCATGTAGAGATTCCTGTCCACTATCTTCTTCGCTAGAATTTCCATCACTAGAACTGCTAGAACTACTAGAACTACTTGAACAACTCGAACTATCTGATGCAAGACCTGTATTGTTCTTTAAGTCAACAGAATCTGCTACTGCTGCTAATTCTGGTTCTTTGTTTTTCAACACTTTATACCACTTGCGTGATAATTTTGGTCTTCCTCTAACTGTTTTATGCCATACTACAGGAAAATTAGTACGACTGCAAAAATTTTGAGTAACAGCAATAGTAGTATCTAAGTTGAGTACAACGTGCCACCATCCACCAGGTACATACACAGTTTCACCAGGGCCTTGAAGTATCTCTATCTAAAATTAAAAAAAAAATTTTTTTTGGTAATAAAAGTAACATTTTCAATATTTAAGATACATAAAAACATATTAAGAAGCTATAAATAAATATTTAATTAGAGCATTTTTTATTAGATATAACTATAAATGTTAAAAATATACTTTAAATTTTTAATATTAAAATTAAAACTAACTGGTGAGCAATCCTTAGGCCAAGTTGGCAATTGAGTACGAGGATAGATGATTTTAAACCAAGTGATAGCTTCATCACGTTGTTTACCACCCTCAGCCGAAGTGACTTTGAGCAGTTCTTTAGGAGTATGAGTAGGAAACAGACACCATCTAATTGAAAATTGCACAATTAACATGTTTCTCATATAAATAAAAAAAAAATGCAATTAACATTACCTCTTATGTCCAGTAATTAATGAATTCCAGGCACTGGTACCTAATGGATCTATATGAATTCCAGTCCCTGATCTAGAAGGACCCATGACAAACCATCTGTATGGAGGTCTTTTTTTTTCACCTGCATACTTAAACAAATCATCTCGAAAGTATATAGGGATGTCATAATCATCCAATAGTTTTTTTCTTCGATGATGCTGAATTCAAAATGTAAATAAAATAATGTTTTATTAAGTAATTATAGATAAATAACAAGTGTGTTTCGATTAAAATAATTATCAGATGGTTAATTTAAATACTTTTAAAATATTTTGCCAGAAAAAAGATTCTACTTTCTAATTTAAAGAGTTATAACAGTTGACAATCATGATAGCTGTTTTATACATAATTATAGAGAACATCATAAAATGATAGTAGTATTTGTTAATAAGGGTGAAATTTGCTTTTATTATATTTGTGTTTAGCACCAATATAAAAAACTTATTTTCTTTGAACCATCTCATTTTGTATAGTTAACATGTTAATTGAAAAAATAAATACAACTTACATCACCAAAACTACTGTCAAATATATATAAAGGGCTATCATCTTTATTATTATTCATATAATGAACAAAATATTTCATTTTCATTTTTACACTATATCCTTGATTGTCTTCTCCACATTTAAATCTTTGGTTACGATACTTTTTACCTATTCTCTAATTGAAAAAAAATAAATATTAAAAACTATTGTTTTATAGACAATTCATATAAAATATACTTCTAATGTCCATTTATAAGAAGCTCTCCAATTATTTTGAAGTCCTCTTATCACAACTGGTTTATAGGGTCGCTCATATTTCTCCACAAATACTTCGGGACTCACAGTTTCCACGTTAATGCGATCTACATTGTCCTGTACTTTTGTAAAAGGCTTAAAATTGTCAGCATAACCATAGGCATGCCATGCATATTTATCACTCAGTTCTAAAAAAAAGTATATTACAAATTGTTATCATTAATAGTCTAATACTTCAGTTAAATTATTAATGTTGTCATTAATTTCATAAACAAAATTTTTCTTTAGCTGTTTTCAAAATGTTGTTGATTTAATAAAGGAGTTTTAAAATTAAATAAATACAATAAGTTCAATATCAAATTTTATAATAATTATTGATTGATAAAAAAAAATTATTTTCACAACTATTATTATTTTATGACAAAAAAGCGTATAGTTTATTTACTAGTAAGTAAAAATATTTAAATAATAGTTAACTGTGTGCATTAAATCACACTTAACAAATTAAAAATAAATAAGTACTAATGTAGTTAAAACAGTTTGAATGATTTCTTAAAAATAAAATTTCTGATGTAACTCTATCAAACTAAATTTTTTAATCATAAGGATCATGAATTTTCTAAATATGTTTATATGTACAACATATTAATATATATAATTATACAGTTTATATATTTTTTTCATTCTAAATACCTGGTCTAGCTTTATTCTTAGCTTCTTGAATCCTTTTCCTAGTCCTAGACTCCGAGCTATTTGAAGAGTCACTCATTATGTACTAATATTTGATTATTTTGCTAAACAAATTTTTGTTTTCTTTAAAATGTATTAAATATATTCAGTAGGTAGTAAAAATAATTCTAACAATATCTTAAGCTCTTGACTGATTTACGTTATAAAAATGTAATTATAACTAGAACAAAGTATAATATTTCTTCAAAGTAAAAATTAATATTAAATTTGTATTAAATATATAATAATCATTATAATGGTTACGACTTATGATACTTATTACAGTTTACAAAAATAAAAATCTGTAAAACGAAACTCCTAGTCCTAAGTACTGAGTTATCAATTTTTAATTTGAAATAAAAACATAACCTTATATTTTAGAACGTACTTAATCAAATTCGACCACTAAATTAAACTTAACGGCTTCAAAGAGATTACAATGATAATAACAATGCAATAATGTTAAAACATATTTTTGTCGGCATAAGACACATTTTCCTGAAATCGTGGATCAGTAGATCTTACTTTCGACACGATAAAGATAATGTCATTAAGAGATAATATATCTATTATCTTTAATTGTGGTTCGTGATTAACACTGTGTATATTTTTTCTGTAGTTCTGTACATTTATAGTTATTAATTACAGTGACTCAGTAGAGATGTTAGTTCTCAGATATGGAAACTTAAGTCTAAAATATTAGCTATTGACCAAGTTCTTGACCATTTTATCGGCTAAGATTATTAATGAAAAAATAGGCGTTACTATAAGATTTGCTGGAGCACAAAAACATTCCAAATTGCAAGTATTGTAATAGTAATAAGTTGAACATTTTATTTTTTCCAAGTACTTTTTTCCTTTAAGTTTTAAAATGAAATTTATCAACTTGAGTTATATACACCAAATGTTCTCTTTAAAAAAATACTTGTTTTAATTTTAGTTTTAAAAATGTCTGACGAAGAAAACGATCGTTTTGAAGAGGAACAGAGTTTATTAACTGACAATTTTAATACCATACCGCATACACCAAGTGCTTGGGAACAAGATATATACGATATAGATGAAGATTCAGATCCCCATGGTAAAAATGTCAACAATAATGCTTGATATTCAATCTTTTATTAATTTCTTTATCAGTACATATATTATCAAACTTGTACAATTCTTGTTAACAGAGATAATTATTTTTTCTTTTGTACATTTTTATTATTTATTTATTATAATAATTTATATGTGTTTCAAAAGCAGTATTAAATATGAATTTGTATAAGTCAAATTAAATAATTGTATACATTTTTAAAATTATTATTATTTTATGGTGTAATATAAGTTTATGTATATTCAGCTACTCCAGAAAGGGAGATTTTATGGGCTGCTGAACAAGGAGAATTGGATTTGGTTAAATCATTGGTATCTAAACATACTCACTTGGTTCATGTTCATGATAAAGATGGTTATACAGCTTTACATAGAGCATGTTATAGTAATCATCTATCAATTGTTGAGGTATTCTTAAAATAAAAGAATTATATTTATAAACTCATTTTATTTACCTACATATACATATAGTTTTTATTAGAAAATCATGCAAATCCAAATGCTCGAACAACTGATCAATGGACACCATTGCATTCTGCTTGTAAATGGAATAATGTGGAATGTGCCGAAAAATTAATAGAAGCCGGGACTGACATAAATGCTTTAACTAATGGTGGTAAAGTTTAATTAAAACTATTAAATTATGAAGTTATACACATATTTTTTTAATTACATTATATTTATAAATATTATATTTTACAGGTATAACACCTCTACATTTAGTAGCAGAGTTGGCTGATTCACATAATCTCATTGAATTATTATTGTCTCAATCTAGTATTCAGGCTAACATAAAACTAGCGAATAGTACAGGTGATACACCAAAAGATATTACAGCTCGGAAGAGCACAAATGAACGACTTTTTGAATACTCTGAATTGTGTTTCAATTATATTTAAATTAAATATTAATTATTCAGACCAGAGACTAATACAAGGCCCGCATGATGCTACTAGTGTTTTTTTACTGGGGTGTGCACTAATTGAGTTGATGGATTGTGTGTATGAAACATTGTTATTAGGTTTTAACTTCTCTATAAGTTTAGCACTGACAAAATCCCAACACCACAGATGTCCACAGGTTGATCCACTAATTATTACGCTATCATTATGAAATACACAATTTTCAATAAAATAATCACCAACTGTATGGCCTGTATACCTATAAAAATTATACAAATTATAATACACATAATGTAAATATGTTGCTTAAAAAACAATTAAAATCTAATAAAAAATATCTTACTCATTCAATAATTCACCCTTTTGTTTGTCCATTAATTTCAATGTACTGTCTGTACAGCTTACTAAAGTGCACATATTGTCTTGTGTTGAACTAATACATGATATCGGCGCTAAAAAAAAATAGTGCTTTAATATGCATGATTACAATTTGAAATATAAATTTCTTACTCCCAATAAAATCAGCATCCAAATTTCCCATTCTTATATCGTAAGTTCTTAAAAAGCAATCCAATGAACCAGTTAAAATTTGGTGGCCTATTACTAAAACTTTAGTTATACTGTCTTTGGCTTCTTTTAAAACCTATAATTGTAAATACACAATTTTACAATAGTAAAAGTATACATTTTACTATTTATTTTCTAATTATTAAATTATTAAAAAATAAATTGTATATTCAATTAATGTTTTTATGTACTGTATAAATACAACAAATATTAGGTAAATTAAAACAAAAATGAGTATAAGTATTTTCTTATTACTAGTGAAAAACGTATAGATTAGTTTGACTGGATATTTATTATTCCATACGTTAGTTTTAGATGTTATTTTTAAGATAACAAACAAAATAACTTATAATGTATTTTTTTTTTTATTAGATTAAAATAATAAAATATTAATACCTACTTTAGAAATAATATTATAGTTATAAAGCTATAACCAAAAAACGATGAAATATTAACAAATTGTTGAAATAAATATATTACTTGTATTGGGCTGTTATTACGACTTCTAGTATCCCAACAACAAACAGTGTTGTCATTTGATCCTGACACCACAACTGAAGAATCTTCATTATATTGAACACAATTCACTGTTGCAGCATGCTGCCGCAATCTGCGTTTTACTCTTCCATCTGATACATCCCATAATACAACTGATTTGTCAGCTCCGCATGATACCAACTCACTTGAAAAGTTTTATTTAAATTTACTTGATTTCAAAAACATCCAATATTTTCATCCCGGTAATATTTGAAATAAAATATAGGCACCTGCTATCGCACGAACCACATACATCCATTACACAGTCTCCATGACCAGCATATGTTTTTAAACACAACTCCTTAAATGGATTCCAGAGCTTTATTTTCTTATCACTTCCACACGTAAGGCAATATTCACCATCCACTAAATACCAAACGACAGTAAGCTAGATATAATTTAACACGTTAATAATCTCAGTAATATACTTTACCATTAAACCTCACGGAGCGTATTGCTCCTTGATCACATTTTATATTTGATACACACTTCAAATTCATTTTTTAAGTCATTAAAATTACTAAATTAAAACGAATAAATGAAAATTAAACAGAAACTTTAACAGCCGATCAAATATTCAAATTCATATTTAGTAAACGCAATTTACACAACTGAATTTTTACCGGGTGCAATAAGAGATAAATTGATAATATGGTTATCAAGAGTAGATAACAATGTTTTTGTTGTTGTTAATACTATCTAAAGGCTAAAGCTGTAGTTGTTGATCAGCAAATATAACATATATATATATATAGATATACTAATTTTAGTCCATCACATTTATCTTAATAATATTATATCTATAAATAATATTTACATAATATTGTCATTACTCTTATTATTAACTAATAACTATTAAGAATAATTGAAGTGGATTTTTTAAACACTAAATAAATCATTTTTTTTCATTTATAGTATATCTGTGGACTGTGATAAAGATGATAGATCTAAATTAACTTAACTGTTACACTTCTTTTTATTAAATTATACAAAGGCCAAACGTTTATAAATTTATCTTTATTATTATTTAAGATAATGCCGATACTGGTAAAGTCAATTACGTGTAAATTGAGTCTCAGCTAAAAAATAACAATCTCAAGCTAGGTATTGTATTATTTGCTACAATATTTTATATACCTCCTCCCAATATGTTCTTAGTTTTTACACAAGATAAATGACAATCTTGATGATCCCATTATAATTTGTATAGAAATTAGTGATTTTATTTCCAAACCGTTTGTTGGCTGGTATTGATTGTATTTCCGTTAGTACTATACTACTATGTATAAAGTGGTGTTAAAAGCTATATTATCGAGAAAATCATCATGAAAATACTAATTGAAATAATGAATTGGTGATGGCATAGATGTAGGGTAAACTTCCATTTTATTATTATTATTATTATCAGAGACGTTTGGCAACAATTTATTAGTCTCAGGCAACATCGACAACATCTTCGTTTTAAAATTCATTATCAGAATTATAACTGTAAAGAGTAATTTAATAATATTTTCGGGTAGATAGCGTAAAATTTAAAAATGAGTTTGGTAGATAGTGTACAAAGTACTCCACAACCTCTATGGCTTTACAGTATAATGGTTATAAGGCTTTTACATAATATATAATATTATATAACCATTAACCATGGTATAAGTTGATAATCATTGACCTTTGTATAATATATTACCGATTTTATTTTATACAAAAATGTTTAAAAAAAAAAACCAGAACATTTTATTAAATAATTTTTCTACATAAATCATTTTTCTATTAATACAAACGTCATTATAAAATAAAAAAAGTTACAACAACATATTATACATAATTAACATTTTAATAATATTATAATTTTTAACTGAAAATAATATTGATGGAATTCACCTAAATAGTAAGTACCTACTAAACTTATACAATAAAAGTAAATTATTTAGTATATAATATATTATCGTAGTGTATAAATATAGGTACTAAATAATATTTATACTTTATAGTTATAAAAATTTTTTAATCCAAATAACATTCATACCATATTTGGAAACAGTTAAATACTTAAACAAAATAATATTAAATTTAAGTACCAGTTACGTAGAGATATTTATGAAATACACTTATTCGTTAAATTTCTAACCATATAATATAAATATAGGTACACTGTCTAATTCACATTATGATAACTGTACACTTCGTTGTTTTTTCTAACAAAACAAATTAACAGTTTACTCTTTAATTTTGTTTTTTTACTTCTAAAACTACCTATTATATTTTCGCTTAAACATATCAATATTTACATGATAAATATGATACTATTAAAAAAAAAAGATTTTATATTATGTATACGATTCGTACTGTATATTATATTTTTGGTACTCACACGAAATTTTTTTATAAATATAAAACACGCATTGACGAAATTATAAAGTGATTACAATGAATAATTCAACTATGATATTTTATTATCTATTTTTCATTGTAATATTTATTTTGAAATAGCTGAACACAACATGACTGAACAAATATTTTGTATTTAATTTTATGCGTTATAGTGCATGATAATACTATTTTAAGCTAACTTTCTGGTTGAAAACCTATTAAAATCGTAACATTTGGTTCAAATAAATCCTTAAAATATAATTTATAGGATTTATTTACTTATATAAATTATTTTTAGTTCCTTATTTTATGTATAAATGTAGGAAGGTATGAAAAATGTACATTAATTTAATTATCCTATGATTTAACGTCGATGGCACTAATACACATTATATATTTTTGGTGGAAAATATTATGGTTATTGCTTATGGTATAAAATCTATTTATATTAGGTATATTGTGATTTTTGGTTTTGACTAGAATTAACATTTAATAATATTTTTACAGTAAAGAAGAACTCAAAATATATGTTGTAGTTGCTTCTAATAATAGAAACTTTTAGTGGATTTTTAATTTTTTTGAGCAAATTATAAAGATGTTAATAGATAACATATAATCAATTAAAAATTATATATTTACTCTTTAACTATAAAATTGTTTATAGAAATGTATTAGGTAATATAAATAGATAAATATATCTATAAACTTTTAGATCAAAATATTTATGAAATATATTAAATTTCAATTTAAGTTAAGTTTTTTTAATAAAAGGTAAAAAACTTATTGGGTATTAAAGTAAAAATATTATATTTTGAGTCTTACAATAAACAAAAGTACAAAATGTAGGAATTAAAAAATCGTTTTAATTGATTTAGTCAAACACATATAAATTAATGTTGGGTTGTATGTAACTAAATTGACTAGACATCTATTTGGAATGAAGTCTCTTGTGTAAGTCTCCTAGGTGATCTTCGTTGATGAGACGATATTTTTGGGCGGCGTTCATATTCGTTTCCTTCGTTTTGTCTCATTGGCCTAGAGTCTGAAAACCTAGCCGGAGGATTTAAACGTTCACTAAAACCCAAAACGTGTGTTATAATCTATTGGAAATTGATGAAAAACTATTAAAACCCGTACCTAAAATTAATTTCATCACTATGACTTGAAAACCCACTGGTATTCTTCAATGATCTTTTTGTAAATACTTGACTTTTGGATTTAGGCTTCCGAAGAGAAGGAACTATAGAGGGTTTTCTGATTTCTGTAATTGAGTTTTCTGACGAAGAGCTGCTGCCTTCGTTACTTACTTCTTTAATATAAAATCATTATAAATATATAAAATTAGGTAATACAATTTAAGGAACAATATTCTTTATTTTACCTCTACTCATTCGGTGTCTGAATGAAACAAGTTCTTGGCTTGCTGATTGATTTCGTCTAGTTTCACCGTTATCAGAGTCACTACCGTGAGTGTCATACTCTGAAATAGGCAGGTGAAGTGTTAAAATCCGCTTTACTTCAGAATCTGTACTACCTAAATTGTCTGATTCTGAAACAGATCAGTTCTTAATGTTTTTTTTTCAACCATATTAAACTACTAGTTATATAGTTTAAAATTCACCTTACATAGTATTTAATTAATAGGAACTACTCAATTTAAAATAGTCTTTAACACACTCATGAAAAATTCAAAAGGACTAAAAATATTATCTATATTATACTTTTAAATATTTATCACCTTGACTTTCGGAATGAGGATCTCTAAGTTTTCTTCCTTTTTGACGGACTTTTGTATATTCGGGCTCTTTTCTCTAAAACGAAATTGTTTCAGATAAATTATTTGTTAAATTTTAATTAATTTATTATTGTTGTTATTTTATCAAATATAACATTTTATTTACTTGAACAAAATTATATTGTTCAGACGTTGACGCTTTTGGTTGATGATATACAAATGATCCTCTAACTGAATGGTATGGACCACTGTAAATATTACCACTAAATGTACTTTCACCTTGTGGTTGTTTGGCAAGTTCAAACGTTGCGTATGGACAAATTTCATCCATATATTCTTTAAAAATTAATAATTTAAATGTTTTTTAATAGTCTTATAACGACGTGTTAATAACTGTAAAAAATACCTGTTGAATCCGTTTTAAATGTTACAGAATCACAACTTAATGTTTGTTGCGATTGTCCTCTAACTGAATATCGTTGATCACGACTTCGTTGGCTCTGATCTCTAACTGATTCTTCATCGGAACGTTCTGATAAAAAATTAAATTTCAAACAATTTGGTCATTTAATATTAATTTTGAAAAATACTTACTCATTACTTTATAATAGTATGTAAATGCTGCAATTGATGATACAACAACTAAAGCTATTATTAAAGAAATAGCAGTTGTGATTGATGTAAATACTGAAGTTTCTTCTGGTGCTATTTCAGTATATAAATCAAACGGTATAACAGTCGCTGTAAAAATATACAAAATATAATTAAGTATCTATTTTTTTTAAATTTTAATATGGTATTAAAAAATACCTCCATCAATAGTGAGAGTGGTGAAGTTATACAATGCATATGATGACCCAATATTATTATGTGCAATGACTTTCAATTGATATTTAGTTGCAGGCTCAAGACCTTCAACAGTATACATACGTTCTGTTGGGGCTATAGGTTTACTACCATCACTTGAAATCCACTCTTCAGATATTTGTTGTTTCCATTCGATTGTATAATATAATATATCACAACCTCCACTTCCCCACAGATCAAACCAGGCGCTCACTGTTGAGCTATTATATGTTATTGCTTCGGTTGGTGATTCAGGTGGGATAGGTACTGTAGAAGTAAAAATGCATGTATTATTATATTTTGTTATTGAGTATTAACGTTGACGTTTATTGTATGTTAATCGTTATAACTATTTATAAGTAAATAATATGCAATATTTAATCTATCTTGGAGAAAGTTTGTCGATTTTTACTCATTTATTTAAAAAAAAAATCTTTATTAGGTTTAGTATTAAATCCTAAGTTTATCAGAAATTTAAAAGTATTTCAACGACATCAGTAATAACTAATACTTTTTTGTTTTTATTTAAAGTTGTATTTGGAATATAATATAATTCCAAATAAGTCCCTAATGCATAGTTCCTCTAGAATGGTTTTTCATCTTCCTTTAAGTTGTCTATTTTCTCCTTTGGATATTCTATGCGGATTGCCTGTTTTGAATACTA